AAATAAAGCGAACGTTTTAATTTAATATTAAAAAAATACCCTCTTACGCGTCTTGAAACCCAATCACTCAATTCACGCCCAATGGATGTAATCAGTTAATTTAGTTTTTATATTTATCAACAGGCCATAAGTATACACTAAATTTGTTCTGTAATCTGTCAAGGTAATCAAATTCATTCTCATTGAAATAAGTAAATAGGAACTCTAGACATTTTAAGAGTCAATGGAAAATACTTATAACAATTATTTAGTTATTTCTAACGTACTGAACACCGGAGCTTAGGCGTCAACGTTGGACTTAAACAAGTGTTAGGCAAGTAAACAGCTGGGTGGACGGATAGACAAACACTCAGTTGCGCAATCAAGCTTTGTTAAAGAGGCGCGACTATCAAGTTGCCTTATCTGGCTTGAAGTCACAGTGCACAAACAATAGTAGTTCATTTAATTAGGATTTGCGGGTAATAGTAGCTGTAGTGAATCTTTGGTCGATAGAATCATAGCATCCACCGATTAGGCATACATTTTTGATGATGTGACCGCTGTCTATATTCCACTCTCTCTTTCGTTCTGACTATCACCTCGACAAGGAGAACCATCACCACATTGAGAAGTTTTTCTCTGAATAATTGATCAAATATAGAAAAAACTTTAAAATGAAACTTCTCGGTGAGTATGCGTAAACGAACTCTCTGGTGCAAGGGCTGTGATCTCTAGCCTCCCTCTACAGATTAGCGTATTTCCATTACATTGGAAGAGCAATTTTCTTGCCCCAACTCATAAAAACGGAAATATAAAACTGGTGGGGAACTGTAGAGATACGGGAAAGTTGCTTAGGCCATTACAGCGTTCATCTCTCCGCATCGGCATACTTATCAGGATGGTAGGTCAACTACAGCTAATCTCTTGGAATTCGAAAATGAAGTTTTTAAGGGTTTTGCTAAAGATTCCCAAATGGATGTTATTTATGTACATGGAGAGTGCTCTTTAGTTCATTCATCATGCGAATGAAATTTCCTTTACGGCATGGAAGGGGGTTTTCCAACTCATATTGTGTCATATATCAACGATTTCTCATATGTAGTTAAGTCATATAGAAACTTCATCTACGCTGACAGAAAACTCCTGCAATTTGCTAATAGTGAACCAAGCTCCAGTGTCCTTCAAGATGGTCTGAACAAATTACTCACTTCGGTGTTCAGTTAATTACTTAACGCTAAACTTGAAAAAATGTAAAAAATTATCTGTTTTTTTAACGGAATACTCCATAGCTTCACAAATCCTGAACAATGTAGAAACGGTTCACGACTTCGGAGCGATTTTCGACGATGAACGTCGTTTTAACCTATACATTAAACCGTTCATTCATCCATGTACTAGCAAGACACTGTATGTGACGTTAGTAAAACCTATACTGGAATATGCTTCCGCGGCATTGTCTCTGTCCTATTACTGCCATGTTGAATCAATTGAATCGGTTAAAAATAATTCTTGGGTTCCATTTTGAAGAATTTGGCAAGGCAACCATTGCCAAAATTACAACTGTGTGAGGATAGATTATACTATGTAACAAGCAATAGCGGGATTTCATCCTTAATAAAGTTACTAAGTAAGTACTTGCGATTCATAAGCCTTGTTGAACTGCATGAACCGTAATTTTCTAGTTCATCTCTTAAGATTCTATCACACAACTAAGCCAATGTCGACTCAGTTATCAATTATTTAAACTACTTACGCTTCTTGGCAAAATTGCAAACGAAACGTACGCAACTAACTCTCCATATCAGACTCAATTCATATTATGAAATCCGTTCTAAAATGTTTTCCTTTTTTGGATTTTTAATTATGCACAGATATATGTACAAAAATGTAATCGCATTAGGTTAATCCTAATATAATAGTACTGGTACAGTTGTTGTTTACGTACTCGCATTGAAAATGATTAAATAAAGGCGTTTTATGTTCGCTACTCATAAATTATAATAGACACATGGCATATATGTTCACATGTTATTCAACAAAAATCGATAAAATCAGTCACGCCACATGCGTACAAGGACTTTCAATGTTTCTGCTAAATTTCGAACAGATATCTTCAGTTTTGCAAGTAAGAGTTTGTTAAACACATGCCTAACACAAAGGGACAGAGGGACATATTCCGAAAAAGCGAATGCAATTTTCTAATGTATCGTTATCGTCCTATCTGTTGTAACTTATAAGTAAAGAGTAAAAAAAACTAGTTTTTTGCTTTGCAAATAGGAAATGTTCTTAGGTTACGTTACACTAGACGTGTACCTTTTAACCAATCTGAACCATTTGACGTACCAGTGTACGTACAAGGACGTGCAATGTTTCCGCTAAATTTTGACCCGATATCTTCACTTTTGCGACTAAGAGTTCGTTTAGCCGAGACCTTACACCGAGAGATGGACAGACATACTTTTTGATAATGATCAGGAATATAGTAGAAAGAATAGATTATGCATTTTATAAGACCTCCCCACCTGCCTTTTGAGTATTGGAAGGATTTTTGCAAAAACCTTATCCTTCGGAAGAAGAAATATTTTGCGACAAACGCTTACTTTTATTACTATAAAGAAAAGATGCAGATTTTAGGGACAATGACAACGGGTACATGCGAGTTTTCTATGTATTAACATGATACGATGAGAAAAGTTTGACGTGTTGTGCATGTCCTCAGTCACATTCTTTCATTTATATTTTGACGGTTAAATGCTACACGGCGGCTTTACTAGACATCAGTTTGGCTTTGTCAAACAAGAACTGGTTTCGGCAGCACAACAAAGCAAGGGCGCAAAAGAGTTCTGCGCTGTCAGCACTTTGGATATCAGAAACACCTTCTGCGAGACGCAAGTATACTATATAACACAAACGACGGCATAAGAGAACACAGGATTATTGCAGTGGTAGCACAGGACTCCGTTCTAGGTTCCTTCCTGTGAAATCTCATGTATGACGGGCCACTTAACATAGAGGGGGTGAAGAGGGGCGAAATTGATGGGTTATGCGGATGATATTGGTTTGATTGTGCAGGAAGCGTCGACCGCGTCGCTAATTGAGATACTAGCTAGTGATAGTTTAAGCCGTATAAGTACGTGACTTTATTCATTCAAACTGAAACTTGCCGGGGGGAACAAGCGAAGCCATACTGGCGACTGATAGAAGGGTATTCCAAGCGCCAAATTTAGACTGGATGACTAATGCATTTCATTTCATTCTAATTTGAGAAAGAGAGCAACTGAGAGAGCAATTAGATACGAAATTAACATTCGCGGAACACGTTGGATAAAGCATTGTCAACCGAAACCACTCTTTGCAAATTAAGACCAAACATGCACGGATCAAAATATGCGAAGTAAAGACATATGCACCTAAGCCCACGCGCAAATGATGTATGTCTCATCCATTTGCCCAGAGAAAGTATTACAAAGTGTATATTTTCTGCGGAAGTTGGATCGGAACGTTTCAAAGGCTGTGCACGTTGAGAACGATATTGACCTGCCACAAAGTTTCAATGTCAGCGGCAGTGATCTTGGCAGGAATATTACCTGTGGGGCTACTATTCAAGGGGTAGTCATGTATTCATAGCGGCAAAAAGCAAGCAACTATTGAAGAAGGAGGTTGCGGCGATGTCTGCACACTTAAGACTGCTATTGGGCAGAGCATGTTGACAGAATGGCAGCAATGACTCGAAAGGAAGGTCGAGTTACACCCTCACCCCCACGAAAAAGTTATATTCTTTTTAACCTAATTTTTCACTGATCGTGGAAAAGCTTTTGAGTTATTTGTGCCGTTTCGATTAACGAGTATAGTACCTGTGCCAAGGTATAAAAAGCGATACGCAGCACACTGTTTTAGTCTGTTCGGCTTGGGCATATTTAACAACTATGTTCTTCAGATCTGTTGAATCGGCTAGCGGTCATGGTAATAGACACCGAAACGAGCACGAAATGGCAAAAATTTTTTGCACGATATGCTATGGTATAAAGTCACAGCATGGCGACATCCGAACCTCTAATCTTAGGCGAAGACATAGGATGTAGGATGATAGAGCGAGGATCAAGAAGCCGTAAGGACCCATCTTGAGGTAGTGCGAAAGCAATTCTGGGAACCGATGGACGGAAGTGCTTATATGCAATTATGTATATCCGATTAGAGATCAGTGACATATACTCTCCAAATGTTATCAATACGTAGACAAATGCGAAAAGTTATGATAGAACAACGGAGACGGAAGTAGAAAGAATGTAAAAAAAGATAGCACATGAAAATGAAATTTGAGATAAAAAAAATGATTCAAATTAATTAATAACAATAAATGAATCTAATTTAAGTCACTTGTTTTGCAAGCATGTGCATCATGTATAATGAATGTGGTGTTTATTTATTGAAAGAGCAAAACCTTTTCTGGGTGATCAAAGTCATTTGAGGTCAAGTTGCATGTCTCTTAAACAAATTTCGAGATATGAATTTACTTTCCAACCACAATATATAGGAAAAATATCAAACGCTGGTAGGAGTCTACATTTTTTCAATATATTTTTGCAAACAAATGCTTTTTAATTACTTTTATAAACACAAAATTATATCTGGAAAAAAAAAAAAAAAAAAAAAAAAAATTGATTGATTTGAAATATTGAAAATTGGTTATGGGTACGAAATTCTTTGATTGGCAATTTCTTTTATTTATCGAAATTCAACACTTAATTAATTTTTTTTTTGTTTGAAATAAATGCTGAAAGGTATTATAGTTAAATTTAGGGATTATTTAGATTTTCGAAGTAAAAACCACTGTTCAAACAAGAGAATTAAAATTTACTGTTGTTTTGTTTTAACAAATCCTTTATTTTCCGCAATATTCATAGGAATATATATGCATATATATATATATACATATATGTGTATTTTTATAAAATTTTTGCATCGCTAAGCTATTTTTTTTTTTTTTTTTTTTTTTTTGCAAAATGCTGCTTAATCGCATTTAACTCAAAAGAATTTTTGTTTTTCGGCTTTTGAATATAAATACAGTTTTATAATCACAGTAACAGATGGAAGAGAACAACAAACATTTAACACTTTAGATAAAACGTTTTGTAAATTAGTATTTGCGGTAAGGGGATCCTTGATTACCGTATTGCTGTGACGGTTGTTGATGATGTCGAGGACGTTGCTGTTGTTGTTGATGTTGCTGCTGTTGCTGTTGTTGTTGTTGTTGTTGTTGTTCCTCTTGATACGGATGAGTGCGAATATATTCTAAAGCTTTGAGTATAGCCTCCGGTATGGGCGGTGGGGTAGGTAAATGGGCTCCTTGTGGCTGAAAACCATTCGCATCAGCATTATACGATAATTGTATTAATTGCCCTTCAGGTGAGTAATATTGCGACGAACCGGCAGCATAATAGCCACCCACTCCCGACTCCTGCTGGGCTATACCATTTGTGGTATCGAATTGATAATTATAACTGCCATCCTCTTTCACTTCGTTCACATAGTTACGTGTCTCGGCGTTATAATCACCAGTCGCTTTTACAAAATCAACATAAATGATGACCAGACACACTGCCAACTGTAATGGAATTAGTATTATATATGTATGCCGATGTCGATGTTTTTGTTATCCTTTTCTCCCTTTGCATTATATTTAATTTTACTTTTTTTTCTTAAGAAATGTAGGATTTGCGGCTGAGAGGGGAAGGGATGCGGAAAGGGGAAGGAAGGATGCTGTTAGGAGCTTCCTTATTAAGACTGTAATCGCACAACACTTACAATTTTCAACATTTTCAATTTGTTTTCTAGTTTCGCTGCCGTAAGTGTTACGGAATTAATAGTTAAATCGATGCTGTTTGTTAAAGATCTGAAACGAATTTAGTTGTTCTGTGGTTAGCAATGCACGCATTTATATGCGAAGAACTTTATGGCAAATGGGATGCAACTTAAGTACAATTATTATGTGCTTTATTATTTTACAATTATAAAAATTAAAAAAAAAAAAAAAAAAAAAGCTGGTATAATAGACACCATCACCAAACACATTCATAACAAATACCAAAAAGAGACGCTAAGAAGACACAGTAACAAAATTGCAAAATGATCTTAAATATCTTTGAGTATAATGCAAGCTTTACTTTTAACATAAACAAAGAAGAGTGCTGAGCAAATTTCATTTACACGCACTCTTTGTACTAGCGCAACATCCTAACACGTGGGCAAGGGATAAGCTGTAATCAATAACAACATATTTCGAATTTTATGAAGTCAATTTTGGACGTCTCTTTAGGGCAGCTTTGACGCCAATATCGTTCGTATTGCATCGGTTGCATTATCTAGAGCAAGCATGGTTAATCACCGATCTCTGGGCGGGATCCAGTCCATGATGTCATCGTGTTCAGGTCGCTAAGTTTAAAATTTCAAATAATTCAATTTGCCCGCAGACAGCAATGGTGAAAATGCATTATATCTGACTTCACTTGCTTTTTTTTTGTTTTTGCCCACTAGGTCCTTAAATGAGTGATCTACAAAAAAAAAAAAAAAAAAAAAGTATAATTAATGCAGAAAGTTGCATTTTTAATAACAGTTTGACTTGGTTCTGGGTACTGCAATGATATGAAAATAAAAATTGGCCCGTTGATGAAAAAAAAATCGGCCATCCCTGATTCAAAAGATATTTAACCTTTCAATTCAATTGCACTCGAATAGGGTGCGAATAGGGTCAAGCGATAGAAACGGATTCAAAATCATTTGTTTATGAGCAATGAATAAAGTTTTAATCATTTCTCACATCCTATCAAGTATGGATTATTGCTTACGCTGTCATGATGCAAGATAATTCTTCGAGTTTTTATATTTTTCTACTTGCTTCAGATAATTCTTTCCTAGTTATTGAACTGGCCGCACGATCTTTACCTTTTTTAAAAACAATTCAACATTTAATGTGGATTTGAGTGCTTGCATTGTAACTAAGTAATTTAGATTAGACGATCCGATTTTGCATTATGTCGAAGATGATTCGTTTCATTGAATTTTTTTGCAACTCATGTGGACCTCATGAAGAAAGGTCGCTATTATAATCAATATTTTAATGGATTTATTATTGCTATGTTCTCTTAAGTTCCCCCTATATGCAATCAGTTCGTGTTCAAAATATATGAGAAAATTTTATTTAATAAAACGCAGTCGAACTGGTTGATTATCACAATTTGTCCGAAGCTTGTAACTTACATAGCATATTCTCATATAGCTTCTAAAGCAAGCAGCGTAGTCCTCTTTACTAGCCTCTACACACTTCTTTATATGTACGAATAGCTGGGAAAAAAAAATTATGCTGGCACAGCATATATATAATGGACGAATTAAAGCTTAGCTTTTTTTTTGTCACAGCAGTGTAAATATAAATCTCTTTACAAGCGCGCGTGCGTGTGTGTGTGTGTGTGTGTGTGAGTGTACGTGCATGTAGATAAATATGAATGTTTAATTGTGAAGATCATTAAAGCCCTTGCTTGACTTGAAAATAAGTTTTAAATTTCGAAAAAAATATAACAAAATGTACAGACACACGCATATAAACATGCAGCCACACCAAAAATCTTGAGTATGTTGTCGGCGAATACGGTTGTAAGTAATTTGTCGATGAAACAAGCCCGAAAACTTAAATCGGTTAATGGCCGAATCTTTTATACCCATCATCTTCATCTTAAAAGAAATTAAAAAAAAAAAGAGCGAAAGTAGGCATTATACGGCATTATCAGTTGGACGACAGTGGGCAGATGCTGCTGAATCATCTCTACATTGCATGGAGATATTTTTTTTCTATCGTCCCATCTTTTATGGTTTATATGTTAAGTGTGAGGGACAAAGCTTAATGTTTTTACTTCTGGAATAAGAGGACTGTTCGGGTTATGTCGCGCTCTTAACGTTTTCTTTGAACAATTCGGCTTATATGCCAAGCTAAAATATGTAGAAGAATTTCCGATGTTTTTGGCAAATTTGCAGCCGATATGTTCATATATGCGCAGCAAGGGTGTTTAAGAAAAGACGTATCGACGAAAGGACCGTAAGACGGGGAGATAGGCGAATGGATGAATTCTAAAGCTACCTTTTGAGTGTTGCAAACGATTGCATTAACGAATCCAAAAATTACTTGTAACATATCGGTCTAACGTATGTATGTGTATGTAGTGTAAACGGTGTTATAATTATGTAAGAGATGCACTTAAAAATACACATTCACGCACCCACATAAGAAAGCATTAATCATAACTTGAGATCAACATCATCGTCATTAGAATATGTATATGAGAACATGAATACTCTTATCATTGCAATCATTGTCATAACCAGGCAATCATTTAAACCCTGTTGCTAAGTCTGTTACTATTGCTTATATCACTTAATTAGTTCGTTCGTTGATATTGCATTCACACTATTTAAGTACATACCTGTAAAGTAAAGTTTACATTGTTTCGAATAGCTAATAGCATGACATTGTCATTATTACGATATTTCATTCGAAATGTAATGCCTCGCATTACATTTCATTCCACATGGCGTCAATGTCTTGATATCATTTGCGACTTGAAGGTATTTTGCAAAATTATAAATTATCATACATATAATGCTGTCTGTTTGCATTCTCATATTTCATTTATAGCCTTTGCATACATACATACATACATACATACATATATACATATATTAAGTAGCACCAGAATATTATTATTTATAACGCGGCGAATCATCATCGTCAGTTGTTGACTCGCTAAAGATTCAAAAAGACGAAGAAGAAGAATATTATATATAATGCGTTTGAAAACATTTCATACCCATAGTGCTTTCCAAAAAGGAACTAAAATTTTGTCGCTTTAAAATTGCAAAAAAAAAATTTGTAAATATTAATTGATAATATATTTAAAGCTGATAGAATATTATACATATTGAATTTTGATATTCTTTGCAAATAATTATGTATATGCAGAAGTAAAAAATACGATTAAATTTAATATATGATGGATGTACTTGATGAAAGACGCATGACTTGAATGATTTGGTAAAAGAAAAAATTCAATTGATTAAACTATGACAAGTGCGAGCTGTTATATAATAATAATAACAATATTATGTTCGCAAATTTATTATCAGGTTCGTGCGAATGCGATAAAATTTTATAAACTTTCCATTTCCTATTTAGACGATATCTGTGTGATACGATTTTGAATCGATTTGTTTATATTCCGAAAAGAGTAAAGCGGAAATGCGCTAAAAGTGCACGTTTTTTGCATCAACGCAGTTCAATGCGGCGAATGGATGGATATTTTCTTCAAATGTTAGCATAGCTGCATTCGGCTGATGAAAGACGAACCATTGTTTCGGTATATGTACGCGTGAAAAACGAACTGTACGCGATATCGCATACGTTAGTTTGACCCGAACAATAGATTGGATTGGAGTACAGCTCAAGTAAAGCGCCATCTTGAAAAGTCCTTATACCACAACAAACTGCAATTTCCAAAGTTCTCCGACAAACAAAAACCGCTGAATAGCACTACGTCGGCATTCCAAATTGATGAAACAAATTTGAATCGGACCGGAGTGCCCTTCCATATAGACGTTTCTACGAACAATAAATCTTCATATGGTAAACTATGGTCTAACTTTCCATATTTGATGATGAAAATTTGTCGTTAATAGTAATTTGACAGAGTTACCTGGTTATGAATAGTAAGTCATTTAGCAAAAAGATTTAATTTTTAATAATTTATGCTGAGACTTGATTTTGCGTAACGCAGTGCCTCTTTGTCCCACCCTGCCTGTCTAGCAAAAAAAAAAAACAACAATCAATTGAAAATTATTTTCAGGGCCACTCTTCATTGCTTCAAGGGTCGTACGTGCCTTAGTTGAGCTAGCCAGGGGGTGTAAGTGTTGGATAATTCACAAACGCGTAAAGAAATGCGCGTACTTTTATCCTTACAAGAATAAACAAACGAACGAAACGCACCTTACCGAACGGACATATCATAAGCCTTGGGCCGTTCTTCACCCTGCCTATTGGCCCTTAATTGAAAATAATTTATCACGAAAATGAATGAATATATCTTAATATCTTAAAGAAAGCTGTGGTGGGCATTTAATGGCCCATTTAGGACCGACATTGACAGTCAGAAAATTCGGAAATAAAGGAAATTTTTAAGTTCTTATCTTATGCTGTAAACCAGATATTTTTTTTAACATTTGACTCATTGGATTTACTGAGGCTGTGTATGGTCGATCTAAATAGATTTGTGAACTGCCGAGCGGTGAAAAATCCTTATAAAAGGTCAATAAAGTTTTTTTTTAGTGCTTTTACTAGAAACCTTATAACAGATGGGGCAGTAAACGGAAGTAAAAATGTACTTCAACTGCTCTTTTTCTCTTCTCTGTACTGATTAATCCAAGGATTAATACCAGTTTTTATTAATCTAGTTAGAGATGTACAGTTCACTAGAATGTAATCCGTCTTGTTTGCGATGGGTCGATCGACTATTATAGAGAACGTGTTGAACGAGCCGCTGTACTTTTCAAAGAACAACGCGAACAAACCGTTCGTTTATTGTTACCTTTACTAACGTCTCTTGGCCATGACGAATACTGATCTTTTACTGTAAATGTAAAGTGTTTTTGAATACAGTTTTACCCAGCAACTATTTTTTTCTTGTATATAAACAAGGAAATTAGTTAGTTATACTCTTTATGTCTTGCCAATCCGCATGTCAGCATTTGTGGTATTTTGTTGCGTAGGAAAAGATTCAATATTTTCTAGATTACGTGACTACGTATATACATATGCATTGTGTTTGTCTGTCTTAATATATTGTATAAGTAATAATGTAAAACTTTAATGCGCTGTTGATCGTGAAAGAAAAAACGAAAACGTATTTTATTTCACATCTATCATCGCGCACGCAGTTAAGAGGTACACTCGAACTACCAGAAATGCTTATTAGAAGCTTCTTAAACCGCATAACCTATCACCTATCATCATTAGAAATGTTGAATGTATTGCGAAAGTTTAGATAGATCCCTGAACACCCTTGCTTTGTATATTTGCAATTAAGATCTAGAACACATAAACATATCCCCAAAGGACAGAAATCTGTAACTAACTAATCATAGCAAACGTTGAACCAAAGTTTTGATCAAAAATCATACCTTACTGCTGCATAAATGGTGCAGGCAGAAATGTTCTCTGCATATTGAAAAATGTCGATTCTTTGAGAGATGAGGTCTTAAGATACAGGATTGAGTACTTATTGATAGGTATGTTTTTTTTTGAGGCCAACTTTAATCTATTGAAATGTGTGGTTGTGTTGTTTATGAGAACATATTTGAAAATAATATGAGGATATGTTGAGATATAACGGCTGTATGCAGCAAGCATTACGCTTATAAAGAAAACTCTATTAACAGGTGATTAATTACATTTAATAATTCCAATATATATATATATATATATATATATATATATATTAATAATGTATATGAATAATTCCAGTCATGTTTCTCATCGAAGATAGATGAGATTTGTGTTACACCATATACGCAGACTGCGCTCTTTCATCGGATTCTTTGCTTCAATTCATTGCGTTTAAGTTAAGGAAAGGAAACAAGTGCATTGATCCGATTGGCTGCAAACTTCAGCATTTGTGCATAGACGTACATCAAGACGACTAAACAAACTTTGGTAGAGACTTGAGAAAGTTTTTTAACCAAAAAAGAAAATAAAAGATCTGGACGTGAAGATTTTTATTTATATTTTCTTTTTTTTGTTCCTGAGCACATAAGGTATGTATGTGTGAAGGACATATTGATAATACGTTGTATCTTCGCAGGTACGCGTTTAGTTTAGCATTGCAATCGTAAGTTTTATGTAGCGAACGTGTCTAACAAAACTTTACGTGATTGTATGGAAAAAGTCTATGCGCTCGTGTACGCAAAAGTACAAAGGCTTAAAGTATCAAACATTGTCACGTTTATCAATATGTGCGTGCTGTCTGTAATAGAATGCAGTAAAAGCGTTAATAGGATCGATACAAGTGCACACGCACGAAATTTCGATTTAAAAAGTAAATAAAAAGTTGACATAAAAAAAAAATATACCACGTGTACAATATATAATTTTTCCTTTTCTTAACGCTCGCAAGTTGTTGCTATATAAAAATAGTATCTATCAGTGTACAGGGAAATGATTTCCATGCTTGAATCTTGATACTTCATCGATTTTCGAAGTTATCTCTAATCCTGACAACCTTCGGTTTACCTGCACTTCATAACGTTATAAGAGAGAGAGATATGTTTCCGAATACAATGGAAGCCTAAAGCAGATGGTGACAGGGGATATCATTAAAAAAATCCTAAATATTATTTTCGCTAATCGACTTGTAAATTTGCAAACAACAACTTTTATCTCAAAATCATGAAAAGGACGTATAGTAAATTTGGGCACGACAGACTTGTTTTCCAAACGGATGGCGGGCTTACTCTCTGTGGAATAAAAATCTCAGCACGTTACTGATGGGAAAATTACATGAGTTGATGTTCAAATTGCTACCCCATCTATCGGGTTCTCACGATCGGCTTGCAAACCTACCAAAGAATGATGATACGGATGAGAGAAAAGACTTCGATCGAATTATGCAAACTGAAACATGTTTTGAAGATCTTAGACAAGTCGTTTTATAAAAAAAGTTTTCGAAATGTTGGAGAAATGTTGGGCTGTTGTTAATATCACTCCGTTAATGCGTACAATTGAATTTTGCTAACAAAAAGAAGGTTTTCATATCACTGCCTCCCGGGAATTATTAAAACTTGTACTTCTTTATGCATTTGCGGCAACCATTTAAAAGCCATAAATCACATTTATTCCGTAACTGTTTTAAAAATAAACATATACAAGTAAGAAAGTTATATTCGAGGGGGGGAGGGGCCCGCATCACGCATACCCACCCCTATGCTTTTCGCATCCTACTCTCCAAGTTTCTTTATTTGGTACCCATATCGCTAGTATTATTAAAAAAAAATTAATCGCATTCGTTTACCAGATTCATTTTAAAATTAACCCATTGGTAAGCAGATAATATATGTTTATTTGTAGTGTGTAGTGTACAAAATAGTTTTAAACGTTCCGTTTTTTTTTTGCCTTTTAATAAAATCTCCAAAAGCTGCAAAAAAGAAAAATTTAATCTCTTGTAACTTTTTGTGGGCATGGCGGATATTTTCCATTTTTGTGCGTGAGCAATGGAGCTTTTCGTAAAGTAGATGTGGAAAATTTCAACTTTCTAACTTTAATAGATTTCGAGTGACAAGCAAAAGTTTAACAATTTTTGTTAAAAAGAACGGAGATGTGTTCACTTTACGCTCCCCTGCGTGCTTCTGGCCTGACCAAATTAGCTCATTTTTAATGCCGACCTGCGTGCAGGAACATCCAACATTTCTACCAAATTTGTGGTCGATATCTTCATTTTTGCGACCAGGAGAGTGTAAACAGCGCACATCATACAGACGGACAGACGGACAGACGGATAGATATGGCTAAGTCAACTCAGAATTTCACGTTGATCAAGAATGCAGATAGGGTCTCTGAAGCTTCCCTTTGGGTGTTAAATACGTGATGGAAAAAAGGCAAAATGAGTATACCTCCATCCTACAGTGGTGGGTATAAAAAATTATGAAAAAGCGTAAGCATGCAGCTCTCATCTTCGCTACGTTTAACTTAAACAAGCAGTTAAAGCAGGGGGGATTCATTATTATTTTCTTAAATTACTTAATAAACCTGAAAAAGCTATGTTTCATCTTAAAGATCTTAAATACTGTAACCAACGTTATACTCAGCGAGTGCGTATCGAATTTTAATGCGTTGACCTATAAGAAAATAATAAAAATCGCTTAGCTGGCTTAATAGTGATAATCCCTTTGGCACATAAAATTTGTAAGTTCCGAGATTGGAACGCGAAATCGAGCTTAAATGCAATTTTTATATATATGATTTTAAGTGAGAATATCGACTTGCATACTCGCAGCCATAAGCTGATAAAGATCATATTTACATGGTATGCATGTGCATGGTATGCAGTATTGTGAAATTGACTTTCTATGCTATAGCTGATGTCATAACCATTTTCAAATTGATTTTGAGAAATTTCAGCTTTAACTTGCGAAAGATCCGATTGACGACGAGTGCCCGAAAAGATGAACGCGATCAAATTATCATTTGCAATATAACGAGTCGAACGACTCGAACAAAAAGAATAATTGCAATATTCAATAATAACCATTGCACCATTAGTTTTGACTAACTATTCTATGCCCGAATAATTAATAAATATATATAGAGATTACATAAATGGTGGCTAAGCTTACGTACTTTGAAGCAACATCGTACTAATCTCTTAAATTTTACGAGATTGCAATAGTTTTGGCCATTACGCTAAATAAGTCAATAACATTAAATGGAAAATTGTTATTTTATGTAGAGGAAGAAGATTAAATACATCATCAAATTCAAATGTTACGAACCCTGGTATTTTGCATTTGTTTAAACATTTTTACCTGTAAAAGTCGCTGGTCCAAATTTTCTTAATACATGCATGTATGCAATGTTTAGTTTACACAGGTTTGTTGTTGTTAGTTAACGTACTGTTCAATTCGACTGAAATAGGTTGCGCTCTCTCATCCGTTAAGATGCGTACCTAATTTTACTTCTCTTAATGTCGAAGCAGAAAATATTTGCATTTTTAAACGTTCGCAACACATTAAAATGCACATCAAAAATTCCGTGAATTAGCGAACGCCTATCTCTTTGTCCGCATGAACAAGTCACCTGGAAAAGTAAATTTAATCCAAGATTCCTTCTTGTCATTGCGTTCAGTGTGTTCCAATTTGAAAATCAATATCTTTCCGTCGCTCCGTCTGTCCGTGTATTCAAATTCCGTATATAATTGAATTGAGAGAATTGCCCAGAGAAACAATATTTAGTCCAAAATTATTTCTTATCATTCCTTTTTCATTTCAACTTTAAAGGGAAGCTTGCAAAATATAAAAAGAAAAAAGTATTAGCGAAAAATTGGAAATTTTCTCCTCACTTCTATCGTCTTTATAGCCTTAAAACTACAAAACTTTTGCTTAAAAGCTCTAAATTAAGTGTTAAGTGTTCAATATTTGTTATTAATGTCTCCGTATCAAGCTCGAAAATTAGTTAAATCTAATGAGGGGACGCATGCGGTTAAAAAAACGCCATATATATTATATATCTACAAGTACCTAACAAATCGGTTAATAATTGCCAGGTCTCACGTATAGATAACGTTCACAACAAAAAATCCCCATTTTTTTTCAGAAACGGCAAACTCTTGAAAGGCGCTTGTCAAAGTTTTATATTACATCAATTATATGTTTACGGGTTACAAAGATGACCGTGTGTCCACTGTGCTTATTTTCAAAATAGGGCAAATTTTTGCTTTTTACCGGTCGAAATCAATAATATGCAGTTCATTGATATTGAATAAAATCGTATAAAAAGTGATAGCTCTGAGTGTAGTGGACGCCCGTAAGAGGTGGCTACACTACCTCTATCCTTCATAATCGAAAATTGAGATTGCAGATATTAGCTGACATGGTAAAAACCTTGGCGCGACAAAGCTATTTTCCCATTGATAGCGCAATTATCCACCGTGAAGCAGACGCATCAATATGTTATTAATTCGCAGTCATAAAGGGCAAGATGTGTCTTAATTACCACATTACTAAAGCAGTCGAATTAGTTGCATGAGCAGATGCTGTTAGTGCTCCAAAGTATAATTACTTAGCTGGTTTGCCAAAGTTTGCTGATCTTCAGAAATGAAGTCAATGGGACCATTGATATTCGATAGTAATGGCTTTTCTGACTTTCCGATAAGAGTATCTGTAATCTTGAACATGAAATACACGAGAGTAAAAAAACAATCTTTTCTTCCTTGAAATTTCTTCTTATTGTCTCTTAAATAACTTATTCAAACTTTGCAATATTTGTTGATTTCTTCTTCTGAATTAAAAAAAAAAAGCGAATCTATTCTTCTCTATTTTGTTTCGAATTTTTTTGATATTTTTTGTAGTGAAAAGTGCGATAAACATTTACGTTAGGTAAGGGTTCAAGCAACGATGGAGACGCAGATGCGAAAACGCCGATATTTATTGCTGTCAATAATAATTAAGAACTTTTTGTCAGTAACAGTAACAGTAACAAACTTCTCTAAGGATTTTAAGGTATTTCGTGGCGTTAGTAATGTTATTCTTTAAATGTACATCGCTTACAATTTCACGCAAACAAGGCTCTTAAATTATATAAAATATTATTCTATAAAATGCACAATTGTTTAAATATCGCACGTACACAAACCTATTTCAGTACACAATTCAGTACATACATATATATATCATGAACTCATTTATTATTCATTTAAATACAATCACCAGCACTTGCACGGCATAAACTTTCATTCTGCGTGCATGTCGGTAAGTGCTTAAGCAATTGTGCGAAATTTCTTATAAGTAGTTTTTTTCGTGGCAAAAAGGCTTACGTATTTTTAATATAAACAAAAAAAATAAAAAAAAATAAAAAAAAAAATAAATAAAAAATATAAAACAGGATGAAATGATTTCTTTTTTTAATGCTCGCCTTTATTTCAGGCTGGGTTGCTAGTTATTGTCGTTGTTGTTGTCGTTGTTGTTGTTGTTGTTGTTGTTGTTTACATTCTTGTATTTTCTCATTGTTACTCTGCTTTTTATTTCACAGTTTCTTTTTCAACTTGCTTCTTCATTTAAATTATAAGTGAGTGAGTTTTGCTGAAGCCTACTTTAAGGCTTCCATATAATAAATTTCAAAGGGAAAGAAATACATATTTATGTATAGAAAATTTAGGTCGATATTAAAATAGACGTTTATGACGTACAAACGCCTAACCAAGCGCCAATAAAGTCAAATTGCAACCAAACTTTGATTCTCTTCCCACAATCCCCTAGGGCGACCTATCATAAAATTCTATTATTAATCATATTATCTTATTATATTATGTTATCTATTGAATTTACAGATCACAAGTGATTATGAATGGCGAATACATGATATAATGAGTAATGAGTTTTAATCTGTCAAAGGAATATATATCGAAAATATTGATCTCATAAATAAGTAAGAAGAACAAGGATGTTGCATTGAGCCGCAATCGATATATTCATTAATTATTACATTGCTCGGAACGCCATTTCGGGGTTTTTTTCTTCCAACCGAGCAACGAATTGTATTTTTGATAGTCAAGCTCATACCTAAGTCGCATTGTCATTATACATTTTGACAACTGACGAAGCAGGATTTATTTGTGAAAAAGATCGTTTCATTCTATACGATAAGTTTTGTTCGGCGCCCCATCAAATATGGACAGTCGAAAGCAGCGTTTTCGAGGTACTTTATTTTCTCCTAATGGAAAAAGTTCTTCAAGCAAAAGAAAAAATATTAAAGATATAGGAAGAGGATATACTAACAGAACTATAGTGTATAGATTGGTTTGCAAGATTTCCGTCTAGGATATACGTCGCTTTCTCGAAATATATCGAATATACACGTGTTCTTGTTCAACGTTTGAAATTTAAGCTTGGCGAATAGCACGACCATGGTGATATGATGGACTGATTAAATTGCCGATATACAATACTGCATAGGTTTGACGCAGATGCGAGCTAGAAACTGGTTGCAAGCGATAACAGTCGAAGTTTTGCTACGAAATTATTATTTTTCTTGCAAAATAGATTGTAAGAAATGAAAACGTTGTTATAAAAAATCCAATTTCTTGCATTGATATTTTTATTGTAATGTTAGCATAAGTTTCGTATCGCTCGACTTAGAATTTAAAATAGCGTAGACATTTTTCTACAATTTTTAGAAGAGCAACTATTTACAAAGAAATTATTTTATAGGTTTCAATGCGCCTGGTGACCTCCTCTATTCGAATATCGCGGCTTAATTATGTTTGCCTTCAGCTATGTTCATATACCTCTGTG